AGGAGAGGGGAGATTAAACAGGGGGGAAGGAGGACGATAGATTGGCAGGAAGGAGAGCGATGAGGGAACGAGGAGGTGGAAGCAGGAAGATGATAGATGAGGACGCAGACAAAAGTGGAAAGTGTGAAGAAATAAATCAAAGCAGATGACAGAAACAAAGTGGAAATAAAAGGAGGTCGAAGAATCGGGGGGAGAGAAAAAAAAGTGGGACAAAAGCAGAAAATAAAACTTTAGTGAGGGTCCAAGATCACATCCCACTGCTCACATGTTCAGTACGAACTCTCTACAGCCGCGCCAGCATAGCTTCTGATGGTAGAGCAATGGCGCCTATTCGATTCAGGCTTAAGACGCTTTAAAGCAAAGCTGCGTCTACTCATGAGGCCAGAAGCTAAAGGTTATCCAATCATTTACTGGAAAGAAATCTTCATCTTGTTAATCATTATGTGACCCCCTCAAACGTCAACTCAAAATTACACTCAGAAAGCAGACGATCGGTCCCTTGGATCATGTGAAGACCTTACTGTATGAGTAACGTGACAAAGCTACGGTGGGAAAATGTGGATGTTTTGAGGACATGGACCTCAGCAGCAGGCGGCAGTCTATGAAACTATCACATACTCGGAATGAGAAGTCGGGTATTCACCGGTTTGATATCGTGTAGCTGTGAGTTCATTTTACGTTTCCAGCCAGCAGCTTTCTGTTGCTTCTCATGATAATTTATCCCTCTCAAGCTTTTCTAAAGAAATACAGCCGTCTGTGAGCTTTCTCCACTAGGGGGATGTGTGATGACCAGTTGTTGTGCGAATTCCCAAAAACAAAAAGCGGCGGACCTCAGCGCCTGAACTCAACATCCAGCTGCGTAGTTTTACTGACGTCTTGCAGGAGCTTGTTCTCTGAGCTCCACTGGATGTCCCCTCTTAATGAAGTCTGGTCGTTATTAGTAACGGGGCCGATGACCGACGGGCGATCTGCAAGAACTGCAGCCATTTTTTACACTATAAACAAAATGTAGATTGGTAGAGAGAAGGTTAAGAATTTGTGTGTGTCTGTGTGTGAATGAGAGAAATGAAAGCCTGCTTCTGTCTTGTCAGCACATGTTTTTCATGGAATGGATGAAGAGGGGGAGGAAAGACAGAAGGGGAAGAAGATTCTGGAAAGTGTCCCAGAGGCTGAAATAAACAACATTCTGTTCTCCTCCGTTTGGTTCATCTCTGTTCCCACTATGAAGACACCCCAATCACCCAGGAATGTCCTGAGAGCTTATAAAGGTCATGATGTCTTACAAGGCTGCAGAGGTCTTTAATGTCTCGCCCTCTTTTGACAACACCAGAGATGAACCATCGGAGAAGATTTTAATACTCAAGTTAAAGATGCCCAGAGGAGACTGTAAAACCAACATGCTAAAAGAGCACCGTGCTTGTTGTTCCATATGTAATTATTATGAAAAAGTACATTAAGGGTTACTATATTACAAATAACAAGCAGGCAACTGTTAAATATGGATAACTAGTTAAAGTGACAAAATCCCTCGTCCATTTCAGATAAATACATATAAACAAAACACCACAACTGTTTACAATAATACTGCTGCTGCTCATAGTACTACTACCACTGAAAAATACTGCTGCTAATAATACCCTGTGAAACCAAATGCTGTCTGCCTCACTAACACAACATCAACGAGCAGCGAGCCAAGTGGGGGGAGCTTAAGAGAAGACTGTAAATCCTCAGTGAGCAGAGCTGCACACTGGCCACCATTTCTTATTGCGCAATGTGTGTGTGTGTGTGTGTGTGTGTGTGTGTGCTGGAAAACAAACCGTGGTTACTGAAGTTAAAGTGTGTGTGAGAGGAGAGACACTCAAAACAGACTCGTCTTTAGCTTAGATGCACAAGGAAAGTCCTTTAGTGTTCGCGGGCACTTTTGAGTTTTGGGATATTTGGAATGAAAGACGACTCAGACACAACTTTGGTATCGATTCATCGTTGCAGTAAATTTAAACAAACCTCCTCACCTTAATCATATTGGATGATATCGCCTCTAATAAGTATACATTTGTTGTTTACAAGTCTGCAAAATGCCAGTTGGACTTTGGTGCCTCTTGTTTTAAGCATCTTGACATGTTTATTAACACAAAGTTACTGTAAACCTGCTTGTGTTTAGTGCTCGATTATCCTCAAAGATTGCGTTAAAAACAGCCGACGCCGGGAGCACAGTTTTCACTGAGGAGTTTTCCTTTGCTTGAATACAGAAGGTTAATTATTTCCCCAATCACGCATAACAATGGATCATAAACCAGCAGCAGCCAGTTGGGCCCCGCTGGTTGAGCGGAGTGAATCTGGTCAGGTCATGTATGTGCGAGCTCCTCTCACGTGGTCAAGCAGTGGGTCCACTCCTTCAGCTATTTACAGCTCCTGTGTTTCCATTCAACACGGACGGTTGTGGTTTCAAAATGCCTCCAAGCAAAAATGGATATCCAAATATGGACATCTTTAACGGACATTAATATGCAGAATATAGAAGCTCTCTCTTATAGACGGATTTGTATACTTTGTCCTCTATGACCAGCATACTGTGAATATGTGGGAATTAGCACTCCAAATTGCAGCATTTTCCACTTGACCCCTCTACAAACACACACTGCTGCCTTTTTTTGCTTCCACTATTTAATAAAATAAGTCTCATGAGAGAAATGAATATCCTTGCTCCACTTTTACATCCTTAAAGTGCCTCAGGTTTCCTTTGATTTTACACTCCATTTTTGGAAAGGGTATTAAAAACACAACTCACAAGACACTGATCTGCACATGAGCTGATTCCAGCTCTCTAAATGTGTCTGCTGGACGCAATACAAACTGATATAGGAGATATAGAGATACGAGTGAATCCATGAAACAATCAGTGATCACACCAGAGATCAGTGTCAGGCAGGAACCGAAGCTGCTGTGGGGGTTTGAAGATGTGCAACAACCACACAACCCACGACAGATATCACAGCTAAATAATGCATGTGAAAGGAATGTACCTCTCTAGGAGAACCACAAACAAACCATTAACTATATGCAACGTGTAATTACTTCACAATTCCCACAAGTAGGAGAAGGACTCAAATATTGTAGCCCAAGTGGAAGAAGCACGCTAGAAGACTCCTCCGTTCAAATGATTCAACGTCTATACTCGATGTTCCCAAATCACTTGATATGCGGAAAGGTCTGTTTCAGAATAATGCGTATTACATGGATCGTAACTGTTTATGCACAAGAAAGAGAAGTGAATCCAACCCTTAAAACCTCAAATCGCGCCGCTGTCGTGTCACGACGTCGCTGGACGGTGAACGCAGTCTGGGTCGTGATCTCACGATGGGGGACGCGATGGTTTCCCTCTGAAAGTTACTCGGCACAAAGGACAACGCGGAAATACAACAACACGGAAGGTTCGTCACAATCAATCGGTCCTACCGTTTGACCACGACGGTCTCCGCTTTCTCCTCCATGTTCGCAACCGAGAGAGCGCCCTTTATTGTTGTGTCTGTTTATCCACGCAGGACAACGGCGAAGCTACCGAGCGCTCCGCTGTGTCAAGCTCACACGTGCAGGGAAACGCAGCGTCCGGTTGTATTCAAAAAGTAAAGGTCTAATCGAAAAGAATGGATTATAAGATAATTGGCCTTACGTGTTTTCCCAGCTATTTAGCAGGGGTGGATTGTAATAAAGTATATATTTTAAATACTGTAGTGGCCGACACAGGCTGTCTTAGGGGGGGAAATGGAAATGGTCCAAGCGAACCGTCGTAATATTTAGGTCAAACTATGGCACTGTGGCACAATTATTCAAATAAGGGAAGCTACTTGAACCTACCTTATGTAATCATATTTTCCCAACTTGTGGGGCACTGTAGAGGACATTTCATCCGGTCTTATTGACTGGAAGGTAAGGCCCCATTCCCTCCCACCAAAGCTTTTCTAGCTGAATTAAATTATATGAAGATAAGCAAACCAGAAAAGTGAAAATAAAATATGAATACAATCAAATTTAAGATGTAATTCAAAAACCATTTGCATGTTCAAGGAAACGAATATCTATATTAGTAATTATTTTCTGTAGTTCCTGATTAATCTTCATTCACGTCTCATGATATTGTTCAATAATATGCGTAGATAACGTACCCATGAAATTTGATATATTTACGCGTCATATTCAATTGGATTACTTTTTTCTCACACTGAACTTAAACAGGATTTGTGCTGAATGTTTTTTGTTTAGAATCTGAGAGTGAGAGAAAGGACGTTCTGAAAGCCATGCAACGTCTTCCTCCCCTCACAGGGCTTTTATTTTGATATTTAAAGGCTTGTCCGTTTCCGGTCTTAATGTCTATCGGTGCCTTGACCGCATTCTCAAACCTGAACCAACGTTTGGATGTTTACCATCCGTGTCTAAGGCAGCTTGCCGTGTTTGTACAAAAATAAACGGGTCGTTTTCTTTTGAAGAACTGTGTTGGTGGGATGAAGGTGGTCCGTGTAAAATGCCCGAGGCCCCTGTGTCCCCGCTCCCACTCAGGAACTCCATGAGGGTTCACGGGGTTCGTGGCCGTACGGGGGCCGTTGGGATTGGCCGGTCAGCATCTTCCTCCACGGCTGCAGAGAAGTAGTGAAGCGGGATGTGCCGAACCGTAGCGCCCTCTAGCGACCACCCCGGTACTTCAAGCTACTTAAGAACAATTACAGCATAATGTCAAATACTATTTATTGTTTCTTCTATTTTAGGATAGTTCTTTTCATGTCTGGTGTGACAATTCATCTTTGGATTTTTTTAAATTAACTTACCGGTACATTCAATTTGTTCATCAAGTCAATTTATTTGAATACTTATATATAATACTACATGATAAGGGAAACCAATAAACTGTACTGGAGTACTAATTTGAGGTACGTGTACTTTGTGTGGGTGTTTCCATTTTTAAACCAGGGTGACATCATGAGGGTATAGACAACAGGACACACAAGACTGTTTCCAATTTTAATAACAGATCTCCATATACAAACTGGATATTGTGACATTCTGCCGTTATAACTTGAACAGATGTAAAGTTTGTGAAAGCCTTTGTGTGTGAGAGAGAGTTTGTGTGGGTGTGTCTGTGTGTGTGTGCGCACACATGTGGTAATCATATGGTGGAGCGAGTGCATATTCCATATAACATCCACAAACAGAGAAAAAAGAGAAAACGCTTGAATAAAATGTCATGTAAAAATTGACAACATTCATGGAATGTTGTTTGATGAGTTGTTTTGAGTGCAAAAATACATTAAGAGCTTTCTTTTTTTATTTTCTCCAACTTCCTACCAGGACACAGCGACGTGTGGAGGGGACTCCTGTGTGTGATCACGCCTTTCGTTCAGTTCATAGTGAGTTTTACAACAGCACAGAGCCCCTTGGATGTAATCCTTTACCTTCCCTGTTGGCTTTGACTGAATGAAGCACACAATTCAAACATAACCTGGTTATTTTTAAAGCTCAGAAAGCAAAAATCCTCTGATTAGACACTAGTTTATTTATTTGTTTCAAATTGTGTTTATTTAAGAAGCTTTTCGAAACGAAGTTGTGTCCCACATAATGGTATTTGATTTACTGTTAACATGTTCACTTTGACCTTTACTCATTGGACATTTCTGACCCACTGAGCGAGCCAGCCTCGGACCACCTTTAGACTTTATTTCAGCCGAGAGCCTAAGCGGAGTTGGTCGCGTATAATACAGGAACCCACTGCAAAATCCCTTTGGGCAGCAATGAAATGGGGGAAAAGTTAGGGGCCTTTGGGGGTGATGGTGTGATCCAAAAACAAAAACAAAAAAATTATTGTATTACAAATATCAATCACATTACTATTACTGTCATCATAAACTTTGTGTCTTGGGCTCTGCTCTCTCCCTTCTGTCATCCTACCTTGATGACCGCACTGAAGTTCCTCAGGGTTCCGTCCTGGGTCCCCTCCTCTTATCTCTCTATACCAACTCTCTAGGCTCTGTCATTCACTCACATGGTTTCTCCTAACACAGCTGTGCCGATGACACCCAAATAATTCTCTAGATAGAAATTTTCATGGAGATATCACCACAAGATGACAAGTGAACACCCATGCTAGCTAGGAGCTACATGCTAATGTTTATCATGTTCTCCGCCAAGAGGGGGTTTGAATGCTAATGTTTGCTAGCTGAGACTGATGGGAATGTCATTCAGGTATTTATTTAAATACTGAAATATCGAACTCCCTAAGGCACCAAAGTCAGATGGGTACATCCTCTGGGAATCATGAATGTCTGTATATAATGGCGAACAGATAGACATTGCAATCACTTGCCGCTGGCGCGACTGGAAACGTGAACCACTCCTAACAACCACAACAAAGACCCTCATGAAGAAGAATCAGCCAACATGAGAACTCAACCTCAGGCAACAATGAATGAAAAAAAAAGGACAGTGGGTCTAATAGTCTTGTTTACTTTAGCAAAAACAAAAGATAAATTAGCAAACAATGAACATAAAATAATACTATTTTTCTTTATTTCAACTTTTAATCACAAATTGGCAGGTTTACGGAAGGCAGCCCAAAAAATGCTGAAAATAAAAAACGTGGTGTTTGCTCACAACACATTTTGGTCACTTAAATAATGTATCAGGTATCTGACTTTAATGAGCACCGGTATTTCATTAGCTGAATCAAAATGGATAAAAAATGTTGAGACTGAGACAAAGGACACGTGTCCTCTGCACCAGATACCCGGTGAATGGTGTGGAGATCTTTCTCAGATCACACAATAACGCCCCTTGTGTCTCTCGAGCTGCTCACGATGGATCGCATGTGCAAATTCTTGCAAGAGGCCATTGAGGTGTAACAGGTATGAAGATACAGTATATGTGATGCTACACCATGAGTGTGTGTGTGTTACGTGAGTGAATGTGTGTGTATGTGTGTGTGTGTGTCTGTGTGTTATGTGTGTGTAGGTGTGTGTGTGTGTGTGGAGCAGTATTAACGTCCAAAATGTGCAAGAGTGTGTGTTGTTGTTCATTGCTGTTTGTCCACACATTTGTTCCAATGAAGTATTGTACTGATCAGTCGGCTGAAATGTACAGCTCGCAGCCTCTCCGTGCTCCATTGGGGTCAGCCGCCTCGTGGTAGGTCACGCTCAATTCAAACAACCCATCCCCCGGCCGGCCTTTCAGGGACTTACTGGAGGAAACTCTTATCGCACAAAAAGAGAACACTGACATCTTCAAGTTCCCTAAAACAGCAGACATTCATGTTTTTGTTTAGCTGTGGTTGCTATGTACAATAGAAGCATCTTCATATATTAATATTCTTCATCTTCTCCGTTGTTCTTCGGTTTCTTGCCGTGTAGACAGTGATCCCATACACGTTTGTCCTTTTTATGTATTTATAGAGTATTTTCATTTTTTTATTTACATTATAAATAACTAGACAGGCTTGTGATAAAATAAATAACTTAAATAAAAGGGTCGTGGCTTTTGCTGTGTCTTTCGCATAAGTCAGGGGAGATGGGTGGGATCGGACGACGCTGCTGTCTGATGCCGTTTTTTGGGGGAGGAAGTGAAAACTAATTTCACAGTGGCACGAGGTGGGAAACTCTCCCTGAAGTACATTGTGACCCCGTTCTACTGCTGACCACCATAACATCAGGGATCAGACAACTATCGTGTCGCTATAGATCTAACGTGCCGCCATATAATCTGTGTTTCATGGTTTAATTATCAGTGCAGTGTGATTGGATATACTTTGACAACTTCTAAAATCAATCTGAAGACTTCATAAATCTGCGGACGTGATGTTAGTTTAGCTAATTCAGGAAGTGTTTCCCACCAAACTGGCCGATGTGAGAGTGAAATCATCAAGGTATTGGGGATGGGTCCACCACAGGGACAGTGGTTTACACTGACGGTGTAATACTACAGCGGTAGGAAAGGTACGGTCTGTGGTTGTTTGAACCTTATTTGAGATACTTGAGGACTGATTGAGGCGATGGTGGGGGGGAGTTTCTCCTCCAGCTATACCACCGTGCCGCTTGGAGAGTTCCCGTTCTGTGCTGTCAGATTCTGATCAGAGACAAAACACGAAGAAAAGTTAAGACACAGACGGCAATTTGTGAAGAAATATTTGAAAAAGCCACTGCTGTTCATGAGAAGGGAGGCAAAGTCCTCCAGCTGGTACGTAATTTCCCGCTCTCTGGTATATCCACCACGGGAAACATCTACTCGATGCATATATGACCTGAGAGGAAAATAATCTATATACTGTACAACAGTTGATATGAAACTCATTTTTGGTTAGGAAATCCAACGTATCCATGTCCTTCAGAAACACACAATTACATTCTGGCGAGTTATTAGAAGCTGCTTTCTTTTATATACCAAATTTGTTTTTCTGCAAAAAAAAAGATGTCATTAGTTTCCATGAAAGGTTTACTGAATAAGTGCAATGAACGAAAAAAACAGATTCTGGCATCTGCCTGTCCCACAATACATTGCGTCCGGGTAAAAAAGTTGATCAGACTTACCGGCTTCCCCGGCCGTGCCCAGGTGCATATGAGACCCTCTTGGCAGGCTGTGATGATGCAGTCGTCCATGAACACCAGGACCGTCAGCCTCTCATGTGCAATCTTCTTGCACACCAGCGGCTCCAGCAGTGGCACCTCGTACATGCGCGGGCACAGCGTGGTGCCCAGGACCTTGGCGGCGTCCAGCCGGTTGCTCCTCGGGGCCACGTTGATCTTGTCGTTGCTCTTGCTGATGTTGCCCAGGCTGTGGTACCTCTTGTGCTCCTTCTCCACCCCGCTGCTGCAGCCTGACTTGTCCGACTTGCGCTCCTGGAGCGACAGTGTGGCGAAGCGGCCGATGCTGAAGGGCGTGCTGTTCCCTCCGACGGCGCTCCCTCCGCCGCCTCCCCCGCCGCCCTCCGTGGTGCTTTGACCCTTGGAGGCATTCGCCACGGCTGGGTGGGGTAAAGAGTTGGAGCGGGAGAGGGAGCGAGGAAGCGGTAGGGGGAGCGTTGGTGGGTTGGCGGCGCCGGTGTTCGTGTTAGGCGGGTGGTGGTGTCCTTCAACCGCTCCACTTCCCGCCACAACTGGGGTGCTGTTGACCGCCGCGCTGCCAGAGTTAGACAGTGATGGTCCAAAAGTGTTAGTGAAGGCGCGGGACAGCGGCAGGCGTGGGTATAACACATCATCTGTCAAGTCCCACAGACAAAATTGGGTGTCTTGCCCAACCGAGCCAAACCGGTATGTGACCGACGACGAGCCGCCACCTTTAGAACTGTGCCGAGAAAGACGGGACAGTGTGCTACTAGTTCGGACCCGGCCAAAGTGCATGGAGTTATTTGGCGCCCCCTGGTGGAGGTCCTCCTCGCTGCCACTTAGCTCCATGGGCTCCTCATCCTCCAGGGAAGTGGTGAAGGGGTCAAACGCCACCACATTGACCCAGGACTTGTGGCCGTGGCCTCTCGCAACCACGCGGCTCTCGGCGAACGACCACACAGTAACCAGGTCGTCCTCTCCGCCTGTGGCCAGATACTTCCCGTCGGGGCTCCACGACACGCACAGCAGCCCGCCAAAGTAGCTCTTCATCACCCCCTGCAGCTCCATCGAGTCAAAGTGGAAGACACGCAGGCAACCGTCCTGGCCCACGCACGCCACGTGCACGCCGTCCGGGGAGAAGGCAAACTCGTTGAGGCCCCCGTCGCCCACAGCCCACCGCAGCAGCGGGTTGCGGGGCGTCTTGGTCTTGCAGGCGTAGACGGCGAACCCCTCTCCCTGCCGCAGCAGAGAGTACTGTGGGGCGGCGGTGCCACACGGGTGGTCCACGTTGTAGAGGTAGAGGTGGCCACTGGCATGGGAGGCCAGGAACAGGTTGACTGACTTGGGGAGCCATTTGAGACACGTCACCTTGGATTTGTCTATCAACCTCTGGAAAACAGGAAAATGAAGGGAGGACAGATTGAAAGATGGAGGAGATAAAACTGAGAAATGGGAGGAGAATCAAAAAAATGTAGTTGTGCTTTTATGTTGAACCTGTGTATAAACTATTGAGAGAAGCATAGGCAGAAACAAGACGCAGCAGACTGAAATCAACAGGGAGAGAAAGGAGGGGGAGAAAACATAAAATGGTGAACGGATTCGGGAGACACATAAACACAAAGTCTGCCTGCATGCAGTCGTGTGAGCTCATAAACTTTATTGGGAATCCCATTACAAACAGAAAGAGGCAGTGCAGGAGATGCAGCAGAAGAATGGACAAGGGACAACTCTGAAGTCAACGCAACACCCAAACTACGGTAAAACAAACCGATACAGACAAAGACAAAGGACTTCTGTTGTATCGTGCCGAGCTTTAATAACTACAAAGACACGGCGCTGCAAACCCCTCGCCACTTGACCAACGCAGAGGGAAAACAGCAACTACAGTACCTCCTCGTTGAAGAGTTTACTGGTTTCTTTCTTGATGGGGTCGAGGTACTGGACCTGTCCTGCTGAGAAACCGACGATGAGGGCTACACTCTCCGCCGTGGCCGAGTACTGGTTAAAATCGTGACACGTCGGCTGAGTCCCCTTGTAGATCCGCTTGTCTATCGGCTTGCTGAGGTCCACAGCCTGCAGGTGAGAAGGAAGATAATTGTGATGCACACGCAGAAAAGACTTTCAGGGACTTTAAGGGGTTTTCCCTTGTTTCACAGGATGCATTCCAAAGCATGAATCCCTACTAAAAAATGTTGATAGTTATAATCATCTGCTCACAATGTGTCTTACATTCATGCAATATTTCTACATGCAATTGCCAAGTGTAAATGAGGAAAAATCCCATCAAGATTTTTTCTTGTTAGTTTTGATGCTAAATATCAGGTTTTGGCGTTCGTTTCATAAGCCACCTTTGTGTAGCCACATACAAGAACCAAAAGGACTCAAAAATGCATCAAGATGAAATGTCTTTTCACCAGTAAGGATCAGGACACAACACGGCTGCAGGAGTATTTCCAGACTGAAGAGCACTCATGAAACTGGTGTAACCAGCAACGTTGAAAGGTCACACCTGAGGGTTCGCTAATGTCGTTCTGGATCACACGGTTTAGACCAGGGGACGTCAATGTTTTTCAGGCCAAGGACCCCCAAACTGGTGGGGAGATGGAGCAGGGACCCCCTATTCTGGTTTGGTCAGCAATCTTTTATTTTTGAGATTCGCGCTCTTAAAACGTGACCATAGACGCGATCTGATTGGCTGGTGCCTTTGCTGTCGTATCAACATGAAAGTAGCTGTGAGTGAACCGGTGCCCAGCTTGAGAGAGCTGCTGTGGGAAGCTGAATGTGTGCATTGCGGACTGAAAGATAACGTCTTCTCCATCAATTTATCCGTTTGCTACAATATGTTGGATTCATGTTAATGTGTATTTAAAGACAATAAATACTATTCTGATTCTGAAGACAAGTAAAAAAAAAAAACCTGCAGTACCCCCTTGGGGTTGCGGACCCCCCTGTTGAAGACCTCTAGTCAAGACGTAAATGCACACAGGGTCATGGGGGGGCTGGAGTCGATCCCAGCTAACTTCAAGCGAGAGACAGGGTTCACCCTGGACTGGTCGCCAGCCAGTTGCTACACTGGGCTACACAGAGATACACAACCATTCACACTCAGAATTTAGAGTCCCCAATTAACCTGATCCCCAGAGCATGTCTTTGGACTGTGGGAGGAAGCCGGAGAACCCGGAGAGAACCCACGCAGACACGGGGAGAACATGCAGACTCCACACAGAAAGGCCACTAGGCGGAGTGGCCTTTCCTTCCAAATATACTAATTTATCGTTTATTGTAAGAGAAATGAATTGAACATGTGTGACTGACGGTGTGTGGTGCTACTGTCCTGCGGTTGAGGTTGAGATTCTCCTCAAATGACTTATTAGCGTTCCTCTTTAAAGAGAGGGGAGAACAGACTCCACACAGAAAGGCCACTAGGCGGACCTTCTTGCAGTGAGGCGACAGTGCTAACCACCACGCCACCGTGCCTTAAATCAAAGACATCTTCCTTCCAAATATACTCATTTATTGTTTACTGTAAGAGAAATGAATTGAACATGTGTGACTGACGCTGTGCGGTGCATCTGTCCTGCGGGTTCTCCTCAAATTACTTATTAGCATTCCTCTTTAAGGAGAGGAGCTGTGTGGGGGAGATATTGAAGGACAAATGGAGATAGGACTCTGTATTAGAAAATCTTTTTGTAAGCACTTACAGAAAAAATAAATTGGCAATAATACTGACATTGACACTAAATCCTGGCTTCTGGTGTACACCACCATTCAGATGTTTTCATCAGCTTTCATATTTGGACTTTCATTCCCTCAATAAATTATTTATTGATATTTTAGCATTGTAGTGACAGATTTTCTAGACCCACTCGGCAGGGTGCGGGAGAAAACCCGGTTCCTCACTCGCTCACAAATTACACGTCTTTTTGTTTTCTTTGGGTGAAGGTCCACTTTATTTAATTATATATTTTATAAAACACAACTCCATTTGTATTCCGTTATTCCTCTCGCTGTGCATCCTGTTAGTGGTAAAAACCTTGCCATCTCCCCGTCACCCATGCATCATTACCCGCACTAATTGCACCCGTGCCCCCATATGTAGACTGTGTCACACTGCCACCCGTGGCCAACCTGCGATTGGCTCCCAACACCAAGTGGTACACAAACATCCTGAATGGCTCCTACAAGCATTGAAATCTCTAAATAATTCAGACTACAAATGTTTTATTTAGATTTGAAATAGTTTTGAAGAATGGAACAATTCAAACTTCTATTTAGTTGTCGTCACACAGTGTTACATTACAGAGGAGAAAACTGTTTAACTTTGATGCTCACATTTTGATGCTAAGCTTCCACTTTGTTCAAATGCTGCAGAGGGATCTTTGTCTCTTTCTGTTGTCTATTTTGTTTAAGCATGTCTAAGGCAATTTGTTCTAAACACAATACAACATCTATCAGCAAATAGGACTTTCTAGAAGCTCAAAGCATGAGAGGCCATAAAGATATACGGAGTCGTCCTCTAAGACATTTGAATGGATAGAATCAAGCTTCAGAAGCATATCAACAGTATTTCTGCAAACCGTCTGCTGGTATCTGATTCACCTCACAATGTCTGTTCAGCATCAGTGCATTTACTCCAAACACAATCTGTGGGATTTGACAGGCCAGAGGCAGAAGAGGTACTCAAATATTTTACTTAAGTACAATTATGAATACACCACACTGGGAAAACGAGAAAAAAAGCTGTTCATAAAAAGATAAATAAAGAAGCAGAGAAAAATATGAATAAGAAGAATAAAGTGCCTCTATGAATGGAGTGGACCAGAGGCTTCCAGTGCTGCATCCGTCTGCATAATGCAACATTCACCAAAACGTACACGACAAGTGACAGTTCAATATGTGCATGGTTTGCCTCCACTTTGCAGCTAAAAATGCCGAAAAAGATGATGGAAAAAAGCGCTACCAGCAGAGCAGGCTAGCATGCTAAGCTAACCTCCACCATCCAATCTGTCATTCTAGCTGTAACGGGGGCGGAGGATGACGGGGAGGAGGTGGCGGAGGAGGAGAACGGACTCACCTTCTTGATGTTGGTGTACGTGTAGAAATACAGCTCCCTGCCGATGTTGAAACACACCCGCTCCGACTCCTCGCCCGGGTCCTCGGGCTGCAGCTTGACCATAGAGACCCGGACGGGCGGCAGGAAGCCCGCCGGAGACGAGTTGGCCGCGGCGTTGGAAGAGGAGGCGGCGGCGGCGGCGGCGGCCGCGGCGGCGGCGGCAGCAGCCCCGGGCCCCTGCAGCAGCCCGACCCCTCCGCCCGGCAGCGCACCGGCTCCGGCCCCGGGGCCCAGCGTGGCTCCGGCGGAGGGACCCCGCGGCAGCCCGCCCCGCTGCTGCGAGTCCGAGAGAGTGAGCAGTTTGTAGAAACCCTCCCTGGTCCGGAACTGGGATTTAATCTCATTGATATCCTTCAGAGCGCCGCCATCTCCGGCCATTTTTGGTGCAAGCAAGCCGCACAGGAAACTGATATTGTGACCTGGAAATAATCGCTACAATAGATTAAAAAAGGAGTGAAAATGGGAGAGCGGCCGAGATCAGCTTGTTCTGACCAGCGCACCCGGTCTGCGCCAGTGCATTTTACACCAGCACCGGAGACCATACCCCTGCTCCCTGGCACACTAAGCCCGAGAGGAAGCCTTTCTGTGCCGCTGCAAGCATCATCCTCGACCGGGTCTCTGCCTCCGTTCATCCAGTGTGCGTAAAGTACGTGCGATGATGTGTCGACTGCTGCTACTGGCCCGGCCTGGCACTGCGCACCCTCCTCCTGTCGGAGGATAGAGGGGGCAACAGACCCCTCATTTAACCTCGACTGACACCACGCAGCAACTTTGAGATACGTTGTCTAAATGATGTTTAATTTTCCGATAAACTGAAGAATTAATATGCATCCTGTATGTCAACTACTGAATAAATACATTTTATTAGCATTTGGGGTTGGTTGGAAAATGCGTGGAAATGTCAGTGGTTAACATGGAAGGAACTCCGGTTCTAAGAGGTACTGGTCCTCTCATGGCCTTCGCCATAGAGTGGTGCAGGTGTGAGCAATTTTGTAGGCTGACTCGGATTTATTGGCAGATTGATAGGTATGCTGATGCTCCTTTAATAAGCAAACAGACCCCCAGGTGGAAAGATGCCCAAAATAATCTTTATCAGGATGCCGGGGCGATGACTTGGAGGTTAAACTAACAGCAAGTTCAAATAGAGCAGTGTTGTTGTTGATGACATGTATACTTATATATACCAGGTTCTCACAGGACAACAATGCTGCAAAATGAACGTTTATTGCAAAATGAGTTTATATGGTGGATGTTTGGATTCTACTCAAAACCCCAAATGTTGTATCTCTTGAAATTATTTCGAGCCCAGTTGCATTGTTGTGGTTCAATAATGATGGAGGGATACTAAGAACTAATTCAACATGCAAGTTCCAACAGTATTCTCCTCGGTCATGTAACACCGTGGGTATATCCACTAAATGGAAGTTTGAATCTTCTTACTGTTTTCAGAATAATTGCGTTGAAGAGAAGAAGAAAAAAACATCAATCACAGCTGACGTGTTATCTGTAGTGTACATGTCCGAAAGTAGACCAATCCCCCAAAACATAACCTAATTGTACCAAAGATGGTTAACTAATAATAGAAGTAGATTATTTGGATTTGGCTGCTTTACACAGACAGATACGACGGGGTGATGTAAACCCAATGAGTATAACTTTCCTGCTTCAATAACCGTTAATGCTCTGAGATCAGTACAATTCCCCTCATCTTGTGATCATTCACTTTATTACAATGTAATGGCAGTGAGGACTGTGCATCTTGAACGCTGGCATACAAACTACAGAGAATGAATCCATCCACGCATTTGCTGGAAGCCATCGACAGTATTTCAGTTCTTGCAGGAGAAAGATACTCCTCTTTAGTGTTAGAGGAGGACCTTCCTTCTCTGTTCACTTCAGGGTTTCTTCAGCCGTTTGGATTCTGTAAGTGGTTCTGGATTACACAAATTGAAATGAGCACAAGAAGAGCGGACTTCCTTGGATTGGAGACCTCAACGCAACTTTCCTCTCGCATTAGAAAATACTGCAGCATCCACATCCGTCAGGGGTAATGATGACAGAAGAAAGTCCCACGTGGATGCATGAACACACGAGAGGGAGTTTCCCATGATGCCCTCCGCCAACACACAGAAAACTCAGGCTAGCATGACGTAGTTCTCAGCAACTTCCAGGACGTAAAGGTTGGACATCCCTGACGGGTCCTCGGTCTGATGCGTCTCCAGGATGACCATCCTGCAATGAGAAGGTCGGGGAGGTCAGAGAAGGTCAAGCAAAAGACACAGTTTAGACCGACATAAACTTATTGTACATCTCAATGTAAGTCATGACTGGAACGGGCCAAGAATGTATTGCAATATTCAGACAGCAATATGGTCCAGAATGAAATATCAATGACTATTTGATGAAGGTCCATGACATTTTGTGCAAATGAGTCCGTCTCCACAAACATTTACAAATATTAATCTAATATATTTACAAATCAAGGTTCAGTGCTACTTAAACTGTGGTGAAATAAGCATTTAAATGTTTTACTACAGTGTTAAAATACTCTGTTTCATGTATAAGTGAAGAGTTTCATCAATGGCCGATGGCCATTTTTTGGCCAATTATACCTGACGTAATTAAATGACTTAATAACTAGTGATTCCTGAATGTATTTACTTTAAGTCACTAAAGAGCTAAATTATTTTTACTATTTTTTATACTGCCGCAGTTATTTATATAATATTACATCACAATTTATAGTTGATTTATATTTCTTCATATAATCGTAATATGTAAAGTAACAAACATCCAACAAATGTAACAGCGTAAAAAGAACAACCTGAGAGTTAAGGTTTAAAGTTGCGTAAAATGGAAGTGAAGGTACCTCAAAATAGTTTTTCAGTACAGTACTTAAGTAAATGTATTTGGTTCATTCTTTAGGCTGCAATTAGCAAATATGAGAATGCTAGCACGCTAAACTACGATTGACACCACGATAAACATTCCAGCTGTACCTGTCTGACTGCACCAGTCTGTAGATCTTTCTGGGGTCGGTAATTTCCTCCAGCACCGCAGTGAAACCTTGAGCTCTCCTCTGCCAGCCGTGACGCCACACCGCCAGCAGCGTGTCCTCAAAGTACACTGGACACACACACAGAGTCAATGCTGGCCTTCCATCCACTACGACATCAACCACCTCTGGTAGTGGGAGAAGCATTCAGACCCTTCACAAGAGGAAAACAGTCTTCATCTTTATATGTGTTTTTGAGCTGATACAAGAGGCTCTTTAAGAGCTTTTTGGGGAAGATTTTCTCAAAACATAAAGGAACACGTCGTTCTTTGCTTTATCACAAACGTACCCTGAATTGTACTTGAGTACAGTACTTGACTGGTCCTGTTATGTCAGTGGATGTTCTCACCTATAGACTCGATAGCATGGGAGAAGGTGGCGTCCTGTGTTGGAGGCCTGTTGCTCTTCAGCTCTCCCATCAGACCGACTATATGTACCGACTCTGTGGAGGAGAGAGGGGTCGTGTTGGAGTCACACAGAAAGTAGCAGTGATAGTACACAGATCATAAAGTAGAGATTATTTCAATTGTTCAGTTGTAAACGTGAAAAAAGACGCTTGGCAAAATGTGTCAAAAAGGAACAAGCGCATATATAATTAGGAGAGAATCCGGTTGTTTTTTGAAAATAATTTTTTTTTATGTGCTGTCTTCAGCTATAAATGTCAGCGCCGGAGACAAAGATTTTTGAGTACATTTATGTAGACAGGAAGTAAAACAGTAAAACAGTAAGATAGTTAAGTAGAACGTTATGTTGCAGCAGGAATTCAACCCAGTAATATCACAGTAATATCACAATATCAGTAATATCCCAGTAATATCACAATAGATATAATAATACCATGTTTTAACAGACACATACAGATAAATGTGGTGTTTGTGGTATTCTTCAGATATTTGTGGAAAAATATTCTGTATCGTGAGTAGAAAAATATTAATGACAAAGCGATGACTTACTTTCCATGAGGACGAGCAGTGAGTTACTGCTTAACTGGTTTACTTGAACTATGTCTGGGCAAGGTTTCTCTGTGGGAACAAACATATACATTATTCTTACAGCTGTGTATTTGTGACCCTGGTTTTTGTTTCCATTGTAGAGCCATTTCACTCTCACCCTGACATCTGGCTCATTTTGCAGATACAGTGTGGTTTCAATTTTTGTCTTTGAATGTTACTTTATTTTTGCGGACTTCAGGGAGAAAAGTGATCGCTTTATGGAAGCTAACAGGTATGGAAATATAGAACAAACACAGACACAGCACCAATGTAAAAAAAGGTGGCCCACACAGAATACTTCAATCAAAATAATACAAATCGCCTTGGAGCAAGTAGGACCGAGGCCAAGAAAAACACCTATGCACCTTAATAAAGGTCAAACCAAGAAATCACAGGGGCTCGTTGCACTGGAGGACCGGAAACATGGAGAATAACAGACGAAACAACAATGAGACAAAAGACACACATGGCTTAAATACAGTGGGAAAGTACAGGTGATTGGACATTGGAGAGGAATGAACAATTAGGGACAAGATCATAAAAGCATAATGCACTGCGGTTAAATGAAACTTAAATAAAGTTTTGTCTTATTCAATATAACTGCTTTCTCACAGAGATACAGTGTGATCTACATCTGCTGATAGTCAGTATATTAACGTGTCAATGTCCAGATAATCTCGTGGAAACTCTTTTTGCACAGCGTCCTAAGGTAAAGCAAATGATGACCTACATTTACGATTGACGCACGGCCCTTGCGTTTTCACAGAACCCCCCTGTTGTAGTAACACGTGCTGCCTCCAGCTACAGCTATATTACATCAATGTTGTAAGTAGTAGAAGTGGTAAGTGTTCTCACAGAGACGTTTGTAGGATTCATTAAATGCCAGACAGTGGTTGCTATTCCATGTGTTTGTAATGGTCGTGATAATGCAGAATGGACCTACCGAGGCCCGAGTTGGAGAACCAGGATGTGTTGGAGTTGAGGTTGATGTATTCTATGTTGATGGGCACGTTGGGGTCGGACCCCGGAGAGACACCGATACACACCAGCGGGTACTCCTCTTGGGGCACCGTCACCATCTCGAACACCCGCAGAGGGTTGGGCAGGGGGAAGTCGAAGTACTGCGAAAATGAGAGAGGAGAGGGTTTCCTTTACTTATATCGTTTGCGGTTTTGAATCTCACGAAGGGCAGCAAACAAAGGAGACAGGCCGAGTGTTTTCATTATGGGCACTAAAACCTGCGGTCTTTAAGCTACAGTTAACTCTTACATTTAATAGTGACCATAAAATGCTTTATTTCTCTACCAGAAGTTGTTTTATTACGCGCGGTCAGTGTTAACACAATAAAAATTGTAAAAACAGAGAGATAAAGATAACACACAGTGCATAAAACCAACTTGGACGTAACAATCAAGTATTTTCACAATTATTTCAGAAGCTTTACTTTGAAACAGGAAAAGAGAAGGCTGACATTGTGGTTGCAATGTGATTACTTTAGACTTGGCATGATACTTCACTGAGCCTTTTGTCTTGAAAATACTTCCAACACAAAGACTAAAAAGTATGTAATTTCAAAAACATTCAATTAACTCAACACATAAATCCCCACACACACTTATTTTGAAACAACCAATCAATTTGTAGAAGAGATATAATCTTCTAGTGAGTGATAATAGAACCAAAGAGGAATTTGTTTGAGTACAAATAAGCATTTGACAAAAAAAACAACGCACTTTGAAAAACGCGTTTTTTGACGACATTTGGACTTGAATTGGCAAATGACTGCAAAGATTTGTTTCCACTTCTGCAATATTTACCTCTGAGATGCAATATAGTAGAAGTATAAGGTTGCATGAAAAAGAAATATAGAAGTAAATACAGTGACTTGAGTAAATGTACGTGTTCCACCCGTTTTGTCTTTTCTTGGCGGAGATAGCTCTGATGTCACTGATTGACATACACAAGCAGCTTCACTTCTACCTTCCATATATGTTACAGAGTACAGAATCTATATTAATGATTCGAGGTTGAACACACATACCTTGATAAGCATG